TGGAATAATCATACAATACGTGAGTTTGGATTAAGACGTATAAGATGATAAATCTTAACACGTTTTAGTGTATACAAATTTTATTGTAGTTGATGAAGAATGTACATTTTAAATAATTTTATGAACGACACATGATGGCGAGCAATGCAATAGATTAGCGTAAATAACGCACCTGAAGATGGCACAGTGATGTTGAAACATGTAGTGAAGTGACATGTGAGATTGAGTGCACTACAAGACGGCCAATACTTACTTAACAATATTTTTCCTTTCTAATGCATTTATGAATTGCGTAACTGAGAAGATAGAAGTAAAGGATTTCATATTAAATGGATACAATTTGAATTTCTTTTGTTATGTAGCGGAACTCCGATGAGTTCTTGGCACCATCGAATTTTCACTGTTATTAGAAGGACGTGGTTGAACACAAACCTACAGGATGGGTGGATATGTAGGAATATTATCCATGCCGGTATTATATGCATGTAACAGCGGTGCTACAGACATTGGTAAATGCGAAACGCAATGTCGCCCAGCACAAGAATATCTTTGAAAATTTTCTTTATATGAACCAAAAAGAAAAAAAAAGAAAGGAAGGAAGAAAATCAGCGATTTTAGTCCGCAAGTGAACTATACCGACCGAGCAACCGCCGCTTGTCGGCGAAGTTTAGTACCAACTTTTGCGGATATGGGGTGTCGCGTGGTCAGCGCAACGAATCCCCACAGCCGTTAATTTCTGTTTTTTAGACAGGAGCCGCTCTTTCCTTGAAATAGCTCCTCAATTATTCTCACAAAGCTGAGTGGACTCATTTCCAGACCCACTACTTCTAAGGAAAAATTTGGCAGCGCCGGGAATCGAATCCGGACCTCTGCATCTGTAGCCAGGAATGCTGACCACTAGACCACAGAGGCGATCCTGCTTTAAATGAACGTTGAAAATATTCCATTAATGTGATGTCATCAGTTATTATTGAAAGTAGAAAGGAAAAGGTTAAATATGTAGAAAACTATTTTTGTTATTAAAAACTTTTTATTTTATCCCATGAGAAAAAAATTTGGATAAGCTTTCTTGTGACAGTTCCACTTTATTTACAACTACGCGCCCAACTTTTAGTTTCATATTTCTTTCTGACGCTCGAATATAAGATAAGCCCAGTCTTCATGCAGAAAACGACAGAGAAATGCCGGCATTCCCACGTAACACAGGGCAAGAAGCCATGCAAAGGGAACTGACTAGAGTTTTCCCCTTTGGACTCGGAAGGCTATCACACGTTTCTTTCATCATCCTGTTATATCGCCCGCTTGAGTTCCCTTTTTTGAGAAAGTGGGGTGACGACTTCCCAGCTCTGTCGTGATGCCAGAAAATAGCTCCCTGTGCAGCATCTTCCTTCACCACTACTATCACCGTCACTCCTAATGGATTAGATTCTGTTCTGGCTCCTGCGAGAGATTGCTACCGTTCAAGCAGCTAGACTACCCTATATACACATGAGCTAAAGCACGGCTTATATTGTACAAAAGAGACGTTAACCCCTCCCTTTCCTCTCCTAAGTACACAGCCATAGACAACATTTTGTATCAACTACTCAGAGAAAATCTCACTTCAATTACTGTAGATTGCTAAGTGTAATTCCGGGCTATAAAGGATGGAATGAAGGCAGAATTCTGATTTCGTATTAAATGAGTTCTTTTTAAGGTTAAAATGTTACAAAATTGCTTCAACATGAGAGCAAACTTTTGAAAGTGGAAAATCGTAAAATACCAATGAACTTGAAGCTTTTCAACCATTTGTCATTATCATATCAAAGATGGACGCGCCATAGCTCAAGCGGTTAGTCGCTGGCTTCCCATCACGGTGGCCCGGGTTCGATCCCGGGTCTGGTCAAGTGGGATTTGTGGTGGATAAAGTGGAGCTAGGGCAGGTTTTCTCCGAGTACTTCGGTTTCCCCAGCCACTCTTCATTCCACCAATTGGTCCACAATCACCCTCACCTATCATCTGGGGCTGGTACAATAGGCCAGAAGTGGCCGCAGTGCAAGGGACTTAGTCCCACCCCACTAGCAATAAAAATCATATCAACGAAACGAACAGCGAATATTAAATTCGATTTAAAATTCCTGACGTTGGTATATTAATAAAATTATTGGCTTTCTGGGCATTTTCCACCGTCCCGCTTGTGTAATTTGAAACAAATTTTCTGGGATTGGACTCTGCTTCCGTCCCCAGATAAAGAACCTACTCAGTTGGGTTGGTTTGGGTGCCCGGAGGTAACGACTAGCTTTATCGATTAGGCCCGACTGAGTAGGCTTTTTACCTGAAGATGTACACAGATTTCAGTCTCCGAGACATGGTTTTCGGTTAAAAATAAAAAGGCGAATAATGCCCCAAAAGTTAACAATTCAATGAATCTTAAATCCCAAGTTCTGTTATAATGAAATGACGCAATAAACCTGAAATTTTAAATCATGTACATATTACACCGAATACTCGTAATTGTAACTTACTCTGAAGTCGTTACATGTAACTATGAAGAAACTGATAAAGTAATTATCAGTAGGCATTGGATTTTGGCCTCCAATGAAGCATTATAAATATCAGCCATTTTGTTTGACTGTCTGTAATCTCAAAACGGCTGGTAAGAAAGCGTTATTTGTATAATAATAAGCAACTATAGTACTACAACTGCTGAGTTCACCATGTTTAATACTCTCCTACTTCAGGATTTACCTTTCAGTTCGTTGTAAAATTTGTCTGTAATAAGAATCAGATATATGAATTCGCTCGTAATACATGAGGAAGAGTCCATTCGTCCATTTCGATCAGCCTTTGCCGGGGAAGAGTTATGAATCAACGAATTCACACATTTAAAGTGCCCAATATATGCAGTATATCAGATAAACATGTTCAGGTAGGTAGGGAGAGCTGTACTTCTTTCTCGCAACTGTGAAAATTAACTAATTAAACCTGATTATAGAATTCGAACAATCAGTTTGATGCAGAGACAATTCTCTGAAGAGTCCACTTGTATTCGGGGGGAGATACTCGATTTGCTATGGATTACCAACTATCGATTTAATTTTATTTTTTTTTTTAATTTCTTGGAATAATGGAGAGACTGAGTCCACTTTGCACGTCGGCCACTTTTGTCCTATTGCACTAACCCCTCATGATAGATGTTGATGAATGTAGAGCAACCAAGGCATTAGAATTCGCGTGGAAACAGAAATACTCAGAGAAAACCTGCCCCAATGCCACTTTATCCACCAAAAATTCCACTTGAGCAGACCCGGGTTTGAACCCGGGCCGCCGCGATTGGAAGGTGGCGACTAACCGCCTGAGCTATGGCATGGACTGTTAGTTTCCTTGCTCTCTACAGATAAACTTACGTTGAAACAGACTGCAACAATCTCTTCCAACATCCTAATTAGTTACCAATCGGGATTATTCCACCATAGATGCAATATAAACTGTTCATCTGTAAGAGCGTCGATAGATAGCATAAAAATCAATCAATTATGAGTTCAACACCGGTAACACAAAAACATGCTCGTGAACACTTTCATAATATTCTTCTTAACATTATCATCCTAACTCCTTAATGAAACTAATACTGGATCTCCGGAAACCACACTGGCATGTCCTCTGCTTAACAGGAGTATATCGAGCAGGAAATATGCAATTATGATAAGCAAATCTTTTATAACAAGGTTGCTGCCATAAGCTAAATAGGGCCTTCAATAGAAAATTTGTAGGCGCAATGACAAATATTATGCAAGGGAGACACGATGAACGTAATTAAAATGCCGCAATAGGTTAACCTCAACTGATTTCCAATGTAAGCCTCACTATGCCGGAAATTCTATTCTCCTCCTTATTCTAGAACTCTTTACACGCCCTGACTCTAAAACCACAGATAACATTTATCATGCGTCTTTTGCTGAGTTACCTCCCTGTTGCACAGTACTCATTTATATTTGTTATAAACACTCATTACGTCATTTAGAGATTTAGTTGTTTAAAATTTACGTAATTTGTTCTACAAAAATAATGTACTGTTCACTGTGCTAGTCCTTATTTAGGTTGCTTGTTAAACGTATTCATTGCTTACACACAAATTACTTATTTTTTTCTGCATTTATTGTTAAACTTAACGTCAGAAATATTAAGATTTAACATACAAATCTAGAATTACGTTTTTCCGAATTAAAAAGCCTTTCAGGAGGTTGAGGTACAGGGCGCACTGGCCACATTTTGAAATGTATGCTAGATTTTATTCGCAAAGCGTCACGTGAGGAGACTTAGGCATAGTTGGGGATAATTATGAAAGGGACCTTAACGCTAGTGGATGTAGACTGACATTTACTGGCTGTGACTTGTCAAATGTCACATCCTTGTGATCAAGGTAATGATCTCTTGTCTTCATAGGAAGCGAAAAGTTTTGCGTGCCCAGTAACTCTTAATATCTCATATGGTTAGTTAATTATTAATTACAATGGTTTTAAGAACAGCCATACCGGTCAGTCTCCTCTGTAAATTTCCAGGTAGAGGTGTTCTACTCGCGAATCACAGACACACAGAAATTGTTGCCTGTGTTATACAAGTACAAAATGAAGTCCTCATTGAATTTTATAACGTCACTTTTCTAACAATTCCAGAAATTGTAAGGTACTTATATATGAAATTTGAAGCTGCTTGTGACATTTTTGTGAGATAAGAGAGCCGTATGGTGTTCCTTACTATAGTCTCACACTTCCTTGCGCCTTCCCTGTAGTCAAATATAAGAGAACACATGGCCTACTGATTTGATTCCTTTTTGGCCAAGCCTCGCCAAAATGTTGATTAAACTCCAAGGATTAAGCTCGGAGCACGTAACCAATAGTTCTTGGGCAGATTATGCGAATCTTTTGTTCTCTGATTGTTGAGTAAAGCCATCTTCAAAAACAGCACAGGTTTCAGGATGGCCCCACTAAGCGGACCCTTCGCTAAGGAGAATTACTTACCCATCGTCCTTCGTGAGGGCTTTCTCGAGCTGCGGCGGCGGGTGTTGTGGAGGGGGCATACTGTAGCATGGTCCAGGGGAGTATCCGCTCGACGCGGGGGCAGGATAGCTGGTAGGTATCGCCCCAGGGTAGCCCGCACCGCCGCCTCCACACGAGTATGCTGCCGCTGGGTATGGCGTGTAGCTATTGGCTGGGTACTCGGCTTGGACGCCGGCCATGGCGTACCCTGGGTGGGGGCTCATGGGTGCATACCCTGAAACAGGCATACAGATGGGGTCTGCGGTCATTATAGTGTGCTCTTCTTGCTGTCATGACGAGTTTGTGCTCTATAGATAATAATAAAGTTGGAGTTTTCTACCTTCTTGGATATGACGTGTACATGACGTTATATCCCAGAAGATGGAACTCTTCATAGCCACAGTTCTGAGAACTTCAAATCCTACAGAATGCTAAAGTGGCTCCTGTGCTCAACTAAATATTACGCCATGAAGACATCTGTACGCATTTTAATCTCTGCAATGAGTGTAGATGATTTAGCGCCACGTTCCGGCCGTTCTACTCCCGGAAGCTACTAGATAGGAGGCTCGATGTCGGTCACAACACAGTGGTGATTAGTTTGAACAAATCTTGTCGGTTTAGGAGTATGTTAATAACAGAACCGCGTATGAATTGTATAGATTAGAGAGACTCAGTTCTTCCAAATGAATTTAGAAAAAAAAGAAATCCGAATTCTTAAAATAGGTCCGTCTCTTAGTAACAACATCCAAACAACAGGACCGATTTTGTTACAAATTGGTACGGGAGACCTACACTATTCTCCATCTAGCTATTTTAATTTTGTTACTTTGTTTAATTTTAAGTGCCATTTTATTTGATAGCCTAAATGAACTTTCATGTAGGTTTACATATTTTTATTCTTTTAACAGAATGGCATTCCATTCATGGCACTTCTATCATAAGAATAATATTATTCATAAGTTTCATTGACATTAACTGATCCCAAAAGACTAAATTAATTCTTGAATTTACATTATCTTAGAGAGATAGGATGGAATGGTATAGACTGGATTGATCTGGCTCAGGATAGGGGCCAGTGGAGGGCTCTTTAAACACGGTAATGAACCTTCGGTTTCCATAAAATGCTGGGAAGTTCTTGAGTAACTGCACAATTGGCAGCTTCTCAAGAAGGGCTCAGCTCCATGAATGGGTGAGTGAGTGAGTGAAATTATATGAACACTTTGACAGGATTTATACGATGCTTGAAGTACTATTCAATAACTATAAAGTATGAATTTCAGTCACATTCATTTAAGAGTCTCATATTTTTTGACTCAATATGCTGACGCTCGTAACTTTTGCTCCCATTGACAGATTTCGATGAAATGCAAAAATCGACACTTACTCTTAATGGCTATTACCATGTGAGAGTTCAATTCAATCTAATATCTATACAGCAGACAGATACATATATATTTTTCTAATACCATCCTGCCAGTTCAGACACTCATTCACTGTGTTAATAACACGCTCTGTAAAAACAAGAAACACTTCCTGTACCTCACGCACACGCAACTAGTGGGTACCAGTTTGAACCTCCACCTTGACAAATTTTTTTAAATGCAGACTGGAAAAATAACCTACATTTACTTCCTTTAATAACTTCTCAGGCCTACTGATGTCCAATTTTTTTCATCTAGTGTCAAAGATGTCACTGATAACAGAAGATACCAATCAAGAACTACGTAAATCACGAGATCTTCCTGTTGCAAACATAATCCGAATGCCAGTATTGTCAATATTAATAATCGCCAGAGGATCAGATTTCAAGCAAGCTAACCACAATAAAAATAATATGATATTGGGATTATTATTATTATTAGTATTACCTGTAGTCTGGGCTCCTGCAGTCGCAGGTATCATTTAGAACTCTGTTCTGAACGTGTGCGGGTCGAGGCTCCCACTGCTGATGACATAAACATGCTTATTGGTAACCAATTACTCGTTGTTTACTTTCCATACAGTACGGACAATTCTTCGTAAGATGAGGCACCGACTATACAATTAATTAATTTGCAACATCATGGGCTTCCTATACATTCTTATATAAAAGAAATATCGAACTTCCAATTGGTCCATGGAAACATATGAAAAGTAAAAAATCAACGACTGATTCGATGTTGTATAACATCAATTAAGTTTTATCATGTTTTACACAATAACTTCTAGTTTTTATATAATCTGACCTATTGTATTTTTACGCAAATTATTTTAAATGATTAATAACATTGTATCCAATCTAATGTACTGCAGTTCAATGGTGTATGTTTGTTAATATGTGTTTGCCTGATGATGGCCGTTAGTGGCTGAAACATGTAAACCTTGATTGTTTCTGTTTGTTGTGTTGTGACGGTCAATAAAGGAGTTGTATATTGTAACACAACAGGATGTACGAAATGAAAATTATACTGATGTTTCAGAGAAATTAAGTCTACAAGCTTTACATAAACGGAGACATCACCTTGATGCACTTTTTCTTGTTCAGGTCTTTCGTGGTCTTAAATCCTGCGCTTCTCTTTTGGAAAATGTTAGCCTTCGTGTAATCTTACGGGCTTCTCATTGTTTGGTGTTTGTCCCTCAAATAAACACTGTCCTTCTGCTTGCTGCGCCTATGCTGCCAATGCGGTGGGTAAAGATCTCGACATATTTACAATCAGAACAGTTTCTGCCAATGACACTAAACCTAAAATTGTTAATAATTTTGTTAATGATACTCTTAATTTTACTTGTATGTGGTCTTATTTTATTGTTCTCTCCTGTTAACGTTAACTTTAATTTTTCTTGCTATTATTATTATTATTACTAATCTGTTATTATTATGTAAATTCTCAAATTTTGTATTTGTTTTTTGATTATTTTTATGTAATTCTATGTACTCATGCTAACATTTTAATTGGCCTCTGTGCTCTTAAGTTGTACGTAAATAAACATGAATTGAATTGAATTAGGACGTTGAGCTGCCACACGAATAAATAAAAATTAATTGGGTTATTATTATTATTATTATTATTATTATTATTATTAATTTCTATGTGTGTATTTATGTGTATTGTCCTTTCTCACCACATAATGGAATTCATTCATTCATTCATCAGTAATCTGTCAAGACGACAGGTCCACAGTCTCTTCCAAAAGAGTTCCTCCACTTGGTGCGAATTAGACCTTTCTCCTTCAAATGAAAATATCCTCTTCTGTCCCCAAGGTCATCCAGCATCTTCTTACGTCTTCTTCCGCGTCTTCTGGTCACTTCTATCCGCTCCTCTATCTTTCCTTGAATAACTTCTTTTATAAGGCAGTTACCGCGTAAGATACGACCAATCCAATTAGCCATCCGTTTTCTTATTTCCTGTAGGATAATGGAATAACTATTCGAAATGTACTTATTTTATTTTCTCACCTGTTAATGTTAACTTCAATTTTTCTTGGAATTATTATTAATTTAATGCCATTATATAGACTGTCTTATTTGTATTTTGTCTTTTAGTTATATCTGTATTTCTATGTACTCGTGCCAACTTTGTTATTGGCCTCTGTGCTGCTAAGTTTGCACGTAAATAAACACGAATTGAACTCAATTGACTTGGATTGAATTGAATTATTATTAACTTGTATGTGTGCAAGTACGTGTATTGTCCTTTCTTGACACATAATGAAATAACCATTGGAAATGTACTTATATATTTTATTTTCTCACCTGTTAATGTTAACTTAATTTTTTTTAATTGTTATTAATTTATTGCCATTACACAGTATATTTGTCTTTTAGATATTTTTGTGTCTTTATACTAACTATACTTCCACTCCCCATATATCTTCATGACATCGTGGTTAATTAATTAAGCACAGGGACAACTTTGCTTTTTATATTATTAATTGTATGTAATATGTATGTATGTACAGTATGTAAGTATGAAAACCTTCCTAGCCGGATAATGGCATAACCATCCTAAATGTACATACTCTACTTTTTTCACCTCTTAATAATAATGTTTATTTTATAATGAATTTATTATTATTGTTATGCCTTGTTTTATATATTGTTTGTAAGTGTTTCTTTATTTCTTTCTTCTTACTCTTGCTAACTTTGTAATTGGCCGCTATGCTGTTAAGTTTGCACGTAAATAAACACGAATTTAACTGAATTAAAGTGGCACCAATTGCATTGTTACTGTCTAAATGGCAGATGCCAGCCAGTTTTTTTCTTTGTGTGTACGTGTTTTTTTCTTTAGTCCTTTGCTTGTGTTTATATTAATTTTGGCTGTTGAGCTGTTAAAAACTGAATTATTATTATTACTGATGTTTAAATAAATTATTACTATTACAATTAGTATTACTATTATTACTAGTACTATATAAACTGCCTTATTCTGTATTTGGTTTGTAAGAGTTTTGTTATTTTTTCTTCCTTCTTACTCATGCTAACTTTGTAATTAGCTTCTGAGCTGTTAAGTTTGCACTTAAATAAATAAAAATTTTATTTTATTATTATATTCGTGTTATGACATTTTTGTTTGAGGTCACTGGATTTTTCAACTGACCTAATACTTTCGGCCGCACTATGGACCCGTGGTTGACTCAGCCTCTAACAGAAATGAGTACCAGGAATCTTTGTGCGGAGCAAAGGACAGCCGGCGCATAAGACTGACAACCTCGTCGCCATCTGTGAGCCGACTGTGTAGAGAAAATGTGGGAACCTCGACGTCTCACAACCGCATGGGCCTTCATGGCCTGTCAAAAGGATAGCTTTATGATCATAATATCGTAGTTGTCGTAATTATAAGTTTACCATTTTGTAACGACAACAAATAACTCATGTTCTTGTTATATTATTATTACTATTATTGCAGTTCTGTCTGTCTTGATTTTCAATATGGATTCCTAAGTCACAGATCTGAAGCCCGTTTATAAATCAATTACTTGAAAGAACGACAAATAAATTTCATAACAACGCCTAACATCGTCACCGTAGAGCGTTATTGCTGAGCCAACGAAACTCACATAGCGGAATGCAGATTTCGTGAGCTTTATCAATAAAAACGTACGATTTTTCTCTCTCTCATTCAGACAAAAGATTGTGACGTCCTTGTCTCTTTCTGTGCTTGCATTGTGCTTCGTCTCGACACGCCATCGCGCGACTAGACCGGCCTGCACCGTGGAGGTTGTATCAATGCCCGTGTTCAATAACTGTTCCCCTAGGTGCCACTGAGAACAATGTCCAAC